TGTTTTCTGGAGAATTGTTTTGCTAAGAGATATGGAAGTAATGGTTTCGATTGGCAATTGCAGCAGCACAATGTAAGGAAAACTATGGAGAAGAGTGAGGCTTTACCTGTAATTGTCGAGAGGGATTAAAGGATTCCATACCAGCCTGAATCCACAAAGTTATGTAAGAAGTACATTTGTCAACAAGAAGACGATAGATTTATAACCAAGGGCAATCACAAAGAAAATCATGGAAAGAGTCCCAGCCAGCTTTAAGGTAGTTGTAAAAGGTATAATTATAGAGAGGGGGATTCTGATGATAAAGAAGAATGAGATAATAGTTTTAAAGAGATCAAACTGTGATCCGAAGCACTTAAGGGTGAATATGAAGAAACTGAGCACTGACTAGGATCAGCAACAAGATATAAGTCGAGTAGAGAAGGTAAATGATTTAGGTGGTCTAGAAAGCGAGCTGGAAAGTTGACTATTTGAGTTAGGGATTGAGAAAAGCAAAAGTTGTAAACTTTAATGCTAGACGCTAGAGCCAAGCCATTCAGTGTGACAAGCATGTGTGATGACCCTAGCCATTCATTCACGGTGCAATGAGTCGTCGACAACAACAATATTGGTTGATGGATAAAGAGACGGCTTGGTCAATGTGATCAGAAATAATATCAAGAATGCAGTCTTGAGATGAAGAAGAGTGCAGAAGAAGAAGAGTGAAGTCTTGAAATGAAGGAGAGTGAAGTCTTGAGAGAAAAAGACTGCAGTCTTGAGATGAAGGAGAGCAATATAGAACAAAGAGAAAGGTGATAGAGTGAAGTGGTGCTAAACAAAAGCATATAAAAGAATAGTCTGTGGATTCAAACTAAAAAATGGGTGAATTCTTATGAATTGAAATGCCCAGGCCAAGCATGTGACTATTGGAGTCTTTAAGAATTAAAGGAAGATAACTATTAACACTAAGATCACAAGATTAGACAGCTGAACTCAAATTGGTCTCACAAAGAGCAAGTAGGTCTGGTGAACTTTGCAAGAGATAAGACTCAACAGATGAAAAGTTACTTCGAAGACCATGAATATTGGTGAATGATAGGTTTAGAGAGCTTGGTGATGACGATGGTTTTTTTTGTTTTATAGTTTTTGGTACTTTAGTCTTTTTTAAATTTGTTAAAGAAATTGACTTAAAGCATAGATAGTACTCAGTACACTGTTTAATATCCCAAGAAATAGCCTCATTACTATTAATAAACCATAAGCTGTAACAAAGAGCACTAAATGTGGTCTCAACAATGCACACCAAAAGTACGAGCAGGGACACCATCCGTGCGCAACATGGCACTGTTAGTACTCTGATATTTTTCAGCTGATGATGGAATCAGCCATTTTGAGAGCTACGACAGAGTTCAGGAAACCTGACTACCAGCCGGCCTTAGCATGATAAAACTGATTTTTAAAGCTGTACCCTCATTAGGAGATAATAGAATGAGTTGCCTAGTCATAAAAACATAGACACAAGCAAAACCCTTGCATCGAGTCAAGAAGATCCAGCATTTAACATCCTAAACTGGAAACAATATAGTACAATTTTTGCTTTAAAAACTTAAGAAAGGTCTTTAGATTATTTTTACAAATATGGTAGAATGACTTAAACTTAAAAATGAACCAAATGCATTTTAAATTTTGTAACAATGATGGCTAGTCTAGTTAAGCTGATTTTAAACTTGTAATCATATGAGGAATTTTCACCATGCCTTACCAGGACCCCTGTAGTTCATAGGCAAGTTCTCATCTTGACGGGGTGAATAAATTACACATATGAACACAATGTTGAAATTGTATGAGTTTTATAGGAGAGACAAGATCCCAGTAGTTTTTTTACCCTGGTTAGGCGGGATCATTTTTCTTTTTTTTACCCCGGTTAGGCGGGATGATTTTTCTTTTTACCCCGGTTAGGCGGGATATTTTTAATACATTTAGGCGGGATGATTTTTACCCCGGTTAGGCGGGATGATTTTTCACTGCTTAAGTCATGTATTCAGAGAAATACTTTTTTCAATGAGATGCTATTTTAAATCAACTCTTTACTTTCAGGTAAACTAAACAAGGTGAACGCAAACAAAGTAATATTTAAAAAGTATTGTTGCAGCACCGGTTTTAACTGGGGGAGGGGAGGAGGGAGAGGTTACCACAAGAACACCTTCCCTCATCTATAGAAAAAAGCAAAATCTTGTAAAAAGAAATTTTAATGAAAGTAATGATTTTTTATATTAGTCTTTTTTGAAAATTTTGTCTTTTACAGTCAAGTTGGATTGAAACATACTGTTTTTTATCTGTACATAATCCGGAGTATTCATCTGATTGGTAGAATTCAGTCAATTTGTGTCAGGTCAGGTGTATGGTCATCATGATCACCCTACTACTGGAAATGTAATCCAGTGCAACGCGTTCCATATCCTGCTACCTTTTAGGATTTTCTTTCTGAGCAAAGGCTAGGAGAAATAAACTCTGACTTAAAATTCTCCTACCTTGGGCCTAGAGATAATGTCTTGAGAAAAATACTCATCTTGTGCAGATATTAATTGCCGATATTAACTATGAGAAATTAACTCTAGAGAAATTTAAAAAATGTTTTTCTGACAATCGATTTCAGTGTTGCACAGAAATTAAGGCTCCTTTTCAAAAACAGACATTTAGCTGGTATAAACAATCAAAAAGTTGTTGAACAGTTTTTTACTAATTACCAGCTCTGAACAGCTTTTTAACAATTGGATATAATTTTAAAAATGCTAGCAAAGATGTGTAAAAGCCATCATAATAATTCAAATAATATTAAGATTCATCAGTTCCAGTTGTAAAAGTTTTGTACTTGACAAGCATTAAGCTAAATATATAAAATTTCTTCTCCTTTGGAGTCTTTGATAAAACTTTAGTAATATTCACCACAATATACAATGCTTGTGTGCACATTTAGAAATGTAGAGTGAGGCTGGCACACCTCATGCATTTTGGTAAATATTTGTTGTTACTTGGTTCTAGTTCATTTGTCAAAAACAGTGCCAAAAATGATTGTCTCCACTTTATGTATCTTCTCATCGTTTAATAAATTTTATATTTCTGCTAATTTTAACAATTTTCGCAATATTTTTCATTGTGGTGAAAATCAATAGAATCAACCATTACAATCAGTATCATTTTGAAATTAATTTGACAAAACTGTTATCAGGCACAGTGAAAGCTGTTGTGATTATCAAGCTTAGAGTCAGAATGTATGTTTACCAATTGTTCTACTATTGCTTCAAATGTATGAAGTCCTTTATAACAATTGAAGACAAACATTCAAGTTCTATTGCAATTCAGAGAGTCATAACACTTATGTAGCTTCTTTTTAAACAACTTCATATGTCTGTTGCAGTAGATACAGAAATCAACCTCTAAATGTGGAATACCATAGGGAAACATATATACATATGGAAACCAACCTCTAATACTCAAAAGTTTATCATCAAGGTTGTTTCTAAGAGTTGGACAAGACATAACTGCAGATGAGGGAGAGAGACTGGTAGCAAAATCTTTAAACAATTGTTTTTTAACTTTTATCAGTGTTTGAAAATCATTTATAATGTAGTTGATAAATAAATTGTTTACCTTTGCTTGCAAAAGAACTTTAAACCTTATTTTAAATTAATGTATACTTAATGTTAATTGGCTACCGATTCCACAATAAAAATTTTTGGCAGAGATGCCTTTACTTTGATGACAATTATCATTCAGACATCTTTTTCTAACATTTCTGTGCATTATTTTCTTGCATAAATTGATAGCTTCTAACTGAATTATGATGAACAGCCTAAAATAAGATTAAAAACGGTTATTCAATGAAATAATAATTTTTTTTAGTTAGGTAGTGTTATTGTATTAACAAGCATCAGACTAGGACTAGATCCCAAAAGCTTTTTTTGGGTTAAAATCTAAATTTATTGTAACTAATGACCCTATTTAAACAATTTCTGTTAGTTAAATAGTTGCTATTTTTTTTATAGAAAAATTAAATAGTTAATTTTAAAATAATTATGTAAAGTAAGATGGTAACAATGATTTAAATATTTGAAGATTCAATCCACTATAGCAATAAAAACAATAAAACTAGTTGCATAAATAACTAAATACATAAAAGTACCTTAAGATATTTAACAGCTTGGAAGTTAAGTCTACGTTTGTAGACAATAGCTTTTTTGGAAAACCTTTGCACCTGGCCAACATCTTTTTCAGCAATATATTTGATTATTTCTTAATAATGCCCATCCAAGATTAAAGTAAAGTGTTCTATTTAATGCTAGATTACTATTTTTTGATTCAAACCGCATTCATTTTCCTGAACCTTGTTAGAATCTGAAACTGTATTATCTTCTGATGCCATTGTTCTTTATATACATTATTTTTCATAAGAAACACAAAAATAAATTATAATTTTCTTTAACTTTACTAAATCAAACTCTCAATTTACAAATTCTAGCAATAAACCTTATTAAATTACAATACTCAAACCATATTAATATATTAACAACTGTTACTAATTAAAAACCACTTAAATCATAAACCGCATGTTGCCACAGAACATTATAGCATTTTTTCTTAATAGAACTAAGACATTTATTCAACTATGCTTAACTAATAAAATATTAGTTGTTTTTTTTTTATTACTAAAAAATATAAAGTATATATACAGTGCAAAGCATAACAGAAATAGCAGCACTCCTTGCATGTTCGTAGCAGCACTCCTTGCATGTTCTACCTATTTGTCAGTCAATGTATGTAAACAGTTTTTTACATAAAGTGTACTTGATTTTATCAAAGCCTTTACTATAGGAGCATATATATATATATATATATATATATATATATATATATATATATATATATATATATATATATATATATATATATATATATATATATATATATATATATATATATATATATATATATATAAGATAAAAATAACACATAAAAACATCTACCTGTAAGATTATCCAGCATCAAAGTCAATAGCTTATCAAGAGGTAAACTCATTATTTCAGCTGGCAAAGGATTTCCCTGCAGTGCAAGAGCTTTCAGTCTATATAAACGACCAATTTCATTAGGCAAAACACGAAGACCGTTGTAGGATAAATTTAAATCTGTAAGCTCAATCATGTCTCCTATTTCATTTGGCAGACTTCTTAACTTGTTTTTCGAAAGATCTAATTTCGTCAAGTTTTTAAGCTTTGATATTTCACCAGGTATACGAGTAATACCATTATCTCTTAAATAAAGTCCAGTAAGATGAGAAAGAGTCCAAAGCATAGGACTTAAATTTCTAGTGTTACCTACAATTTCTATTTCAGTCCAATACGTTTGTGAAGGCGGTTTTTCATCGGAAGCATCTTCAGATTTATGTCCATTTAGCATAAAATTACCATTGTCAGAATCTTTGCTCATAGTGTTCTTTAGTTATTTTTTTTAAATAGTATTTTTTTGCAAAGCGTAGATTCGTAACCATCTCGGTTAATTTATTGCGAAGTTCCGTATATGTCGGGGGAAAAAAATTTCATTGAACGCTTTAGATTGGTCACACACTTAAAAGTTAAAGCACACTTAGAATTAAATTTTTGCTCTTTTAATTCTAGTTTGGTGTGTTTAGCCACATTTCAAACTTGACTCTCAAAAAATGTATTTTTATTTATTTGTTTATTTCCCTTAAAGACTAATAATTAAAATATTAGCACTGAAAATCATACTAAATATGATCAACCATTGCACTTAATTTGAGAGTAGGAGGTTCACGTGGGCAGTGACGGATTAAGACTTTTTGGGGCCCGGGGCTATTTTTATTTTTGGAGGCCTTTTTATGGGCTGGAGCCTAAAAATGACTTAAAAAAAAATAAATAGCTCCTCTAAAATTTTTTGGGGCCCCTAAATTTGCGGGGCTCGAGGCTATAGCCCCCTAGTCCCCCTTGATCTGGCACTGCTTGGTGTAGATGAAGATTTTGAACAAGAGAAAAAAATGATGAACTGAAATTAATTTGTGCAGAGAAGACAATAAAATTAAAGGCCTGAGTATCCATGGGAAATTAAAATTGCCAACAATAATGAAGTCATCATAATTTTTTGTTTTTATTGCTGTTTTGACGTAAAAGGTAGCACAGAAAATTTCAGAGAAAATTTCGGCACCAGAAAAAAGAGGCATATAAATATAGCCTAAAATAAATAAAATACTAAGGTCATTAGAAATGTTTGTAGAATTCCCTCTAAAAATAAAAATAAAAGAGTTTTTTTAAATTTACTTTAATTTTATATATACAAAATTGCATCTTTTCAAGAAAGTATTTTAAAATACTTTCTCCTTTGAAGTAGCTTGGTTATGAGGTTTTTTCGACTTTCGACATCAGTACAGTCACCAAGATAGTAAGTTGAATAGCCAATAATCTATTGAAGATATAGACATAAGTTTGGCGAGTACTAGTGGCGAATTGTTATAATTCCGGATTGGTTAAAATAGTGACGGTTTAAGTAACATGAAGTATAGCGTTATAATGGAGAAATTTAAAACTTTGCCTGTTAGAGATTTTTAGCCTAATTTATTTTGCTTATAAAAGGTTTCAAACAATTTTGAGCCGTTTCTGAAAAAGATAACTTTTTCTTACATGCGTATTCAACGTAATGCTAGTTTTCTTTATTTAACAGTGTTGCAAATGATATAGCAAAATGGTTAATTGATATCAGGGCTTCAATGATATCGTGTGTTGCATTAGGGTTTTCTTTAATAATAGCACGCGGACGTTTGATAATCTCAGCTGTATACGATTTTAGGAGGCTCTGAGCGGGGATCATCATCAAAACTCTCTCTACCATCTTGAAATAGAGAATCCCGCTTGAAAACTGTACTGTTGTTTGGTTACCATGAACTAATACCAATTCAGCGGTAATAGCTCGAACTCTGAAAAGAGCATAGATTTTAATATATGCTCAATATTTAACTTTATTGAGAGGTTAGAATTATCTCCACATTTTTTTGTTTTGAGATAAAACGATTTAAAAAACTTTAGGAGACGGCATATAAAAAAATTTTGTTACTTATGTTTTCTCCGTAACTTTTTTGATTTTAACTTAGGTTTTAATATAGTAGAAAAACATTATTTTGAGGTACATGACACAATCAATAACTCAATTTTTTCAAAAAGTGGAGATAGAACAAAATAATTCTCTTTTTCGCGTAATAGCGAAAAAAAAACTTGCAAAACGAGTTATTTCGAAAGAAGACTTTTGCAACAGTCACTTACGAAAGGAGTATTTTGAAACGTGCACTTACACGAAAGACTCGAAAACATTGATTAAACTGTTATACAAAACGAAAATAAACATTATTTTTTAAATAAAAATAATGTTGTTAAATGATTTTTCAATCATCATATTATATTATAATAATACATATTTTTTATCGTAGAAGGCTATTCATAACTTTAGTACAACATATTGGTCTAAAAAACATCCCTGTGAAATTTCATGAAGGTTGTGCAGTTTTTGTGGTACTTCAAGCTTTTCTAAGTTTTCGTTTTTTATCAACTTTATCCAATATTTTGAGATTGTAGGTCAAACCATTTTATTACTGCTATAAGTTTTCTTTTTTTTTTTAAATTCATTTTTTGTTGCACCAGAACTTTAAAGTTTAATAGAGCTTTTCTCAAATTTTAAACTAAATTCAAACTAACTCTTTTTCAAAAAATCTTTTTTTTATTTAAGGTCAAATCATTTTAAAGACTCCGTAATAGTGCTATTAGTGTCATGTATTAGTAGTAGTGAAATAGTTTTAAATTGTATTTGAAATTTTTTTTTTTTTATATATAAAAAGTTTTTAAAAATTTTTGCACTATTTGAGTTTTTATAAACCCACAAGCAAAAATGTATATAAAATGGCAGGTCTTGAAGAGGTCAATTAAGATAAGTTTAATTTAAACTTCTTTAAAAAAGGGTATGAATTTACTTATTTATATAAAACTACTTACTTTTACTATTTTATTATTTAAATGCTGTGGTATAGTTATAATTGTTTATTATTGTTTACCTTATTTTTTTTATGTTTGATGTATATCTTTAAAATAAGTTTTAAAACATTTTTGAGACAGTCAAAATTTTGTTTTAAACATAAACTGTAAAACTAGATGGATGTTGAGTTTGAGAATATTTAAGGCACCAAGTCTACGTAAAAGAGGTTCAGAAGGAACAGCTTAACTAGCTCCAAATACAATTCTAACTGGATATTTTAGCTTGTTGAAAGGTTTTCTTAATTTAGTGTCATTAGAACTTGCCTATACTATATTGCAGTAAGTTATATAACTATTTATAAAAGAAAAATATAAATTTTTTACGGATTTAAAAATTAAAAATTGCTTTGGTCTATAGATCATGCCAATATCTTTTGAATTTTTTTTTTTTTTAATGGAGTTTATATGATGCATTTTCATCAAAATTCACTCCTAAAAAATGAACGGAAATTTGCCTTTTAATGTCAGTTTTATTAAGTTAGAGATTGGGTAAAATATAAAGTATTTCTTTGAGTTTTGTTAAGTTAGAGATTGGGTAAAATATAAAGTGAAATATAAATTTCTTTGAGCTTGCGTAGGTTGAGTTTATGCAGTTTGAGTTTGTTGTAGTTCAAATGTTTCAAGAATTTGTAATTTAGAGTTATAAATTTTGTTTATATCAAGTGGAAATAAACCAGTATTTTGAAATCCTCCAATTACTTCTAATCGTGTAAATACTTCACTACTGTTAAAAGTTTGGCTTGAAGCTGAAAAAAACTTTCTTTTGATAAAATGCTGCATAACGTGCTTTTATAATGCTGTTGAAATATTTTTTGCCAAACCTTTTTGAAATGATAATTTACTCCCACATCTAATGATTGAAATATGTGGGAGGAGTAAGCTAGTAAACATGTTAACTTGATATTATTCTATTACATGTTACATGTTTGTTAAGACCATTAAATATAAACACATGTGTACCTTGATTTTTTTAATTATTAGTCTATATAATTTATTCAGCCATTGCATAAGTTGTTTATCTTCCGCCCGTCCTGACGATTAAGTTGTATATTCAGCGTTTGACAAAACACCAATACACCAACTGCTGTATAGACACTGTTTTGACTTAAATATAATAAATGGTGGAACTGCGGTTCTAGCTATATTGATGCAATTAACAGTTGTATAATTTATTTTTTCATTATTACCTACTTATTTTAATGGTCGTCTAACATCACGTCAGCAAATTATCGATTGCTGCCTTGGTCAATGGAAAACCATTTCGTCAAAATTCCATAATTGCTCGAACTATTTTCATTACCATTTACTTCAAGAAATTGTTTTTCACATGTTTGGAAATATTTTAATGCAATTTCTTTAGTGCAAGATGCTGCTCTTAAGATGCCGCTCTCAGTGTTGATATGTTGTTTGCCGCTCTCAGTGTTGATATGTTGTTTGCCGCTCTCAGTGTTGATATGTTGTTTGCCGCTCTAATGCTTAATTTGTATCTTATCTGTTAATAAAATAATAATATCAGTCTTTTCAGGTCGACTATTTTTTAATAAACTAGTAATCTTTAAATAACCGGCATCAATATCTATGGTTTGGCTTTGTGTTCTTCCAAATCCTTCTTAATCTTACACACCCACGCTGAACCAGATTTTAGTTTGATGAAATGACATAGGGTTGTGTCATACCTTTTTGAAATTGTTAGAACCATACCATTAAGGGAAAGTTAGTAAAAAAAATCATAAAACTAATCTTTAAAAAATATTTGGGTTTATACTGGGGTCAAAACGGTTCCCGAACTTTGGCCCCCTCTGGTTGATTATGAGACTAACCCGAGGGGGGAAAGCAACTGTTTTATATTTTGTTAAATAATATAACTAGTTATTAGTTGCCCCTTCTAGATGGCCTTAAAAACATCCCGAGGGGCACCAAAGTTCATCACCTATCGATGGAAGGGGCAACAAACCATATCTTTAAAACAATAAACAAATTAGCTGATCCAGTACTATTAAAAAAGATCGAAAATGACTTAAATATTTCTAAATCAATAAGAAATGGGTCATATAATGGTAATAGTTGTCAAAAAATATTAAAAAATTGGGTGAAGTACTATAACTTGTTTCCAGTCCTATTAAAACCATTGGCTGAAGCGTTCAGGCTTCTGGATAACCTTGTTCACTCTTGTTTTGGTGTAAATTTATAGCCAACATTTGAAAAAGACATCAGGTTATTTAAGAATCATTATTCAACCTTAGTGGAAGATAATGAAATGACAGTTACTGTGAAGTTACATATCATATTTCAACATGTAGGTCCTTTTTGTAAAGATAACGAAATTGGATTGGGTTTCTTTAGTGAACAAGCAGGGGAAGCTCTTCACTACTCATTTCTAAAGGAAGCATGGGAAAGTTTCAAAGTGTCTGATAACCATCAAAAGTATGTAAAGTATTTGAAAAAAGCAGTAATTAGTTTCAATGGTAAACATTTAAATAATGTT